AATCACTCTTTCTCTAAAATGGTGGCTAATCCATCTTTCCCCGTATCTCCTAATGTGGAATGATTCGAATAATTCGCGGGTGGTCTTATCGCTTTCACTTGATAAGACAGTCACGTCAACAAAAAAAAAAAAAGGTAAACAGCCGCACAGAATGCAAAACGGTAGGCACCATTATTTGAGGTCACCACTTTGTAATGCTATTGTAAACAATTATTTGAACAATGGCCAGTTTGGCCCACGTATACACAGCTGCATGGCAGTGGAATCAGGTACACAACTCCCGTGACACATTAAACGAAAGGCGAGATGTGTCTTACATGGTATTTTTTGTTTTTTACGTGCTTCGCTTTGGCTGATATCTTCCTCTTTATTTTTTCACATGCATGATTGAGTTTATTCGGAGCCCAGAAAGCTACTTTCACATCACAGTGATTAGCCGCATTCTCCAACCCGTGGGATTTTTATGAATTGAAAGAGTAACTATCACTTTAGATGTGTGCCATATATTTTTTTCTGTTTTTTATGCTCCCAACATGATCTGACGCTGTTTAATAATTTCTGGGCTACCTCGCACATAGCCGTGACCACATTTCAGGGGCGCACGAAAGTCAATGCAACAATTTCAGTGACCTTTGTGCGCCCCGTAACTACAACAGTTCCAGTGAAAACCCAACGCCAGTCAAGACGTAGGATCCCCCTTCGAGAGATAAGGGCGCGTGGGAGATCAACCACTCCCCTCCTTCCCTGGGGCAAAGAACGTGTGAGAGGTGAGAGCTACAACGAACTCATTGTGCCGTGTTGGTGGTAATGCTGAAAAGACGATAGTTCCCCCCCCCCCCCTGAGATGCCCGCCAACAGCGGTAAGTGGTCGATACAAATAAGATGCCGTTTGGACGTTGGAGGAAGTGCCCCTCGGTGGCACACTGGTTAACGCCTTGCCTTCACGACGCGGAGATCCCACGCTCGATTCCACGCACTGGAGTAATTTTCTGGATCTTTTAGGGGCGAAGCTTCTTATAGCGGCACCCGTTCGTCCCCCGTAGTATGTAACAAGTATAACATTTTGACCTCCAAGGTGTTGCCGGTGAGAGACTTCTTCTGTGCGTTGTCGAACAATAAAAAATAGTGCTCAATGTACATGTCAATGGCTGCTAATGGGGAATGAGAGACAGGAGCATTCGGCTTTTAGTTACCGCGCAGGCTGCGATCACCATTAGCAGCCATTGGCATGTACATTGAGCACTATCTGACAAGAAAGGGTTGCTACGTTATACTCGCTGGGTGTAACCTCCTTAGCTTTAGAAAGGTTTAGCGAGAGTTGAGCCGCAGTGCCATGAATACAATGAACTTGTATATACCATGAATGAACTCGAGGTGGTTAAAAAAATTGCCCGCAGCTTCCCTCGGGGGAACACTGGGGAGGATGCGGACCATATAATTGGTTAACGGGGTGTTAAAGTGCGACTTACTTGGGTCGATGGCTAAATTGGCTAACGTGGTTGTGAAATGGGGTGTTAAATTGCGACTTACTTGGGTCGATGGCTAAATTGGTTAACGTGGTTGTAGGAGGGGGTGTTAAATGAGTGAACACGTACACACGTATGCGAAAGGGCGGCGCTGGTCGAAGGGACGTCGATCATTGTGTTTGTGGATTCGTTGGAATTCATTTCACCGCGACCTTGGACGTCGACGCGCCGTACAAACCAACCGACGAGCGGCAACTGAGCGAGCGAGCGCCGACCTTGAGTATATATACAGCACGACGGAGCATGCACTGTCAGCTGTTGAATGTTCTCGAAGCGCGACGCCACATGCGCGTCCACTGGAGAATCAGGAGAATTGTAGATTTCGAACGCGGTGTGTAGAGGAGGAAGGGTGCACAGATGGTGGAGGAGTGAAGCGCGCGCGGTGTGTAGAGGAGGAAGGGATGCACAGATGGTGGAAGAGTGGGCGACGGCGCGACGGCGCATGCGCGCGCGTCAGCTGTCGAATGTTCGAGAAGCGGTGCGGACGGCGCGGACGGCGCGGACGGCGCACTACAAGGCGCGAGTATAAGATGCTTCCGCATCTAAAATGGGAAGTAGATACGAAGCGCAAGCCGTAAGAAAGTAAAAGCCGAATGCTCCGCTTCTCATTTCCCATTAGCAGCCATTGGCATGTACATTGAGCACTATCTGACAAGAAAGGGTTGCTACGTTATACTCGCTGGGTGTAACCTCCTTAGCTTTAGAAAGGTTTAGCGAGAGTTTAGCCGCAGTGCCATGAATACAATGAACTTGTATATACCATGAATGAACTCGAGGTGGTTAAAAATGGGAAGTAGATACGAAGCGCAAGCCGTAAGAAAGTAAAAGCCGAATGCTCCGCCTCTCATTTCCCATTAGCAGCCATTGGCATGTACATTGAGCACTATCTGACTGAAAAAGTTTGCTACGTCATACTCGCTGGGCGTAACCTCCTTGGTTTTCGAAAAGTTTAGCGAGCCTTCGGCCGCAGGGCTATGAATACAGGGAACTAGTATATACCATGAACTCGAGGTGGTTAAAGGTGGGAAGTGGACCCGAAGCGCAAGCCGTAAGAAAGTGTGCGTGTGCCACCTCTCGTTTAGTCTTTGGAATGTCCGCTGGATGGCGGTGCTTCTATATGGGGAATATATAATGAAAAGATGCGAGATGGTGGTACTTGGAGTGTTGAATAGATGGACGAACGGACACAGAGACAGATGCATGAATGGACGCATGAACGGACGCAGGGGCGGCTGCATGGACGAACGCAGGGACGGACACACGAACAGACGCACGCACGGACGGGCTGATGGACGCATGGACGGACGAATTCTTCGCCCCGCTCTCCATCATTCACTCCGTGGATATGCTGCCATATTTTTCTTTTTTGCATTTCATATATATATATATATATATATATATATATATATATATATATATATATATATATATATATATATATATATATATATATATATATATATATATATATATACGTGTACATATACGGTGAGTGGTGACGCCGACGCTGGCGGCAAAATCCGGTGGAGAGTGTTTATATATTTGCTATCGCAACAAAAAAAAAATCACAGCACATTTACGAAGTGCATGATGATGAGAGGGGCGAAGCATGCGTCAGTCCGTTCGTTCTTGTTTCCGTCCGTCCAGGTGTCCGTCTGCGCGACCATTCGTCCGTCCATGCACCCGTCCTTTCGTGCGTCCGTCCATCCTTCCATCCATTCATTCGTCAGTCTGTGGGTCCGTTTATCCGTCTGTGCGTCCTGCTGTCCGTCTGTGCATCTTTCTGTCTTTCTGTTCGTCCGTGCGTCTGTCCGTCCGTCCATTCATCAGCGCGTTGAAACCACTTAAAAAAGAGATAGCATGTTCGCACAATAAAATAAACTGAGCATAATTTGTTACGTCCCCATGCCGTATGTCATTAGGTAATAGCAAGATATTTTCACTGAGTCGTGACGGGGACGAATGGTGGAGACTGTACGTCCAAGATAAAAGTGTTTATTTGGCAGAACTTGTGGCCATGGAATGGAAAGTCTAATTACCGTGATACGCACTGGCACTGATAGCGGCGAACAGAGCGTCAGCTGTCGATCAACAGTCAAGCGATGATGCGCGTCAGCACTTGAATGATTAATTGATACGTGGGGTTTAACTTCCAAAAACCACCATATGAATACGAGAGGCGCCGTAGTGGAGGGCTCCGGAAATTTCAACCACCTGAGGTTCTTTAACGTGCACCCAAGTCTGAGCACACAGGCCCACAGCATTTTCGCCTACATCGAAGATGCAGCCGCCGCATCCAGGATTTAATCCCGCGACCTGTGGGTCAGCAGCCGAGTACCTTAGCCACAAGACCACCGTGGCGGGGCACGCGCATCGGCACTTATACATGTGTCGTCGAATATTTCAGGGCTATGGCTAGTGGCTACTTTATTTCGAGAAGAATCTGTAATGTTCTCGTTTGCGCGCAATCGCATCGGATGTTTCTACAATTTTCTCGACTGTTCTTTAGTCAATCGGCATGATTGCGCAAAGCAGCGCTTACACGTGTAACGGGATAATACTAACTTGAGTAAGGAGCTTTGCGATACGTTACTTGAAGTTCAGTCTTATGAATCCAAGCAAATGCTTGTCCAATGGAGGCTATTGACGTTTGTTACAAGTGTCTTGACGAACGCACGCAAAGAGGACAAAATGAAAGTTAAGAGAGGAGGTGTTGGGAGGTTCTCTCCACCCCCGAATACGTCGAATGTTGCACATGAAGATATGTAAACAGACATCCGAACATTAACAAAGTGCTTGATTGGGGCTGGTTGGTGCTGCATGGTAGGCGAAGAAAGTGCTTAACAGCGCAAATTACAGGAGGAGATAGATGAGACGACAACAGATCGCTGTGTTCTCGTCTCTTCTATCTCCCCCTATTGTTTGCGCTGTTAAGCCCTTTCTTCGTCTAACATCCAAGCGTGCACATACCATGCATCAAATGTTTGAAGCAATGCTGGCAGACCAGGTTATTAACGTTGATTTGAAGCACTTCCTTTCTCTCGACCCCCCTCTTGCCACTATAAAGCTTTCTAGCTGGGACAGTATTCGGAGCACCCGGAACATGTCTAGTAACGCGGACTCGGCCTGTTTCAGCAGGCGTTTCAGGACAGTCAGTCATCAGTAGAAGCAAACGTAGTGTGGTTAGGAATGAATGCGTTAATTGAGGTGAGTACGTTTGGGTAGATATTTAGGCAGTTTATATTTGAGGCACAAGCGAATACGTATCTAATGATTCAGCTAAATTGGCACTCTTGTGCGCAGAGCTGATTTGATAAGCGGATGGCGGAACACTTCAATGGTTGAAGTGGAGGATGTTGTGCTAGCGCTTGTCAACATCGTTGTGTTTCGTTTCCTAGAAGAAAAAAGAAATAGGTAAGAAAAGAAGCAATGCAACTCCTAGTTTGCGACCTCAAGTGATATCTTTTATTGGTTATGCGTTCTCGTCCATCTCCCTGTAGACCTCCTTGACTGTCTTTGTGATGACGATCCTTTCGGTTGGCAAGGGAGCTTCGGTAGTCGGCAGCACGGGTTCCGGTAGAGGGAGCTCGATGCAGTCAGCGCGCCACGGGTAGTCACACACGTTCAGCTTGCGGTTGAATTGCAGAGCACTGGGACACTCGATCAGTTCTGGGACACCCTGTGATAAAGGCAACAGTGCCGGTACACTTGTACATAAATCATTTTTTACGTATTAACAGAATACTCTCAACTCTCGGTAAGTCCCATTACAGAAGCGGAAAAATACAAACATCGTGCAAGCAAAATAATGCAATGACAATACCATAGGAGCACTCACGACTGTAACCCACACAAGAGTTGGGACATCAGGTGCACGTGTCGCGATGTATACGACATAAAAACACAGAGCAAGTAGAGTAAACGTTGACATGCCTTTTCCGGTAACTTGGGCTAGTCCAGTGTCAATGCATGGAGTTTTGATTATAACACAAGCACGGCAACCCTTGCCTAAGTGCTAAAAAATATCACAAGATGACTCGATAATCGACTCAAGTGCAGCTTGTCTTCCAACCCACACAGTTTCCTAAAATTAACTAGAGGGGACTCTGTCGCTGTGATTGTTCAGCGACCATGGGAATGAAGGGTAAAACACGCATTTGCCTAGTATTCGTACTTGCGATCGGTGAATTGTACTTGCGGCTTCGTTTATTGCTGTGTTTTGGTTTTATTTTGAAATAAAGATTCAACCCTTTTGAACTTCGTGACCTGATTTGTAAAGGTAAGTCTAAAAGAATAAGGTGGTGAAGCGCAATAGCTGAACATTTGCTGATTGATTGATTTGTGGGGTTTAACGTCCCAAAACCACGATATGATTATGAGAGACGCCGTAGTGTAGGACTCCGGAAATTTTGACCACCTGGGGTTCTTTAACGTGCCCCCAAATCTGAGCACACGGCTGAACATTTGCTGATTTTTGTTTCGTGAGAAAACAGCTCCAAGCCACACGAACACATACGGAGCCAAAATCAGGCCAGAAGTACGAAGTTTAGACAAATGTGTGTACTACCCATCATTCCCATGCTCGCTGAAGCGCCGTGCGTTGCAGCTCCCTTATACAGTAGTGCCACAGTTCCCTCTCGTGTATATTAGGAAACTCTATGTTCCAACCTTCACTCAAGTTTACTGATTGAAAAAGAAATTAAGAATGCATTTCTGTGTCCTTTGTTCGCGAATAGGGAAACGGCTGTGGAAATGTGCTAGCACGAAGACTAACGTGCTGTAAGAGCCTGAGTTCTGTCAATCGCCATCTGACATTCCTGGCTTTCTCTTTAGGTTATTCTTGTTTTCAAACCAACTACCTTTGGTGTACTTAGAAAGATAATATTGCTGCTGAAGAGCAAGTGATATGAAACAAACGACTGGTTAGTTTGTCCCTAGGAGTACGAAAAAACTTTCAAGTAATAATAAAAATGAAATAGCCGTTTTAATACCCAGAACCAAAAACGAGAATCAGACATGTCTTCTGGGCGTTGTTTCAGAGCGAGATCCCACATTGCAGAGAATGTTATACTGCGTTTGATAGGAAGTAGTGCTTCGGATTTTCTTGTAGCGTTAAATACCGCATCATTACCATACCAATGTTCTGACAGGACTCAGTCCCAAGTGCTATATTACCCATTATCATGTTCATTTGGTGGAAATGCGTAAGTTTTTTAAAGCTAAGTCAATGTTCAGGTGTTCTATGAGCCACCAAACTGCGCAATAGACGGAGAACAAGAAAAAAAAAAAGGGGGCACAAGCAACAGCGCGGAGTTACAACAAAGTTCAATCGTCGACACCGGTGTTCAGGAATACACCTTGTTGTAAGTTAGTGCTGTTATTTGCCGCTCCCAAGTTTCTCTTGCTCTATTTTTTGCGCTGTTTTATTTCCAAGATGTCGTAGCAACATGCCCTAGCGTCCATTTTAGCAGCGGGGTATAGGAAGTAGAGACTCAGGAAACAATTGGGAACCTTAAGGAAATTGACACTCAAACTTATTGGTACCTGTTTTTTCTTGTGCATCAGCAAGTTTACCGGACATCTTATGTAATCACGGAATCGCAATGCGAAAAAAGACGTGAAATAATTTTAAAATTTCTTTTTATTGTGACAGCAACAACACTTGAGATCAAGTTTTGCCGTCGTTGTAATGTACCATATAAAGTCGAAATCAATGACATCACTCCACGTGTTCGGTGGTGAGCAGCTGTGCACATTGGCCGAAGGAGCGTGCTTAAGAGCGCTATCTCAACCCAGTTTAGCAGACGCTTTATACCATTACTTTAGAAGAATTTATTCTTGGCGGGTATTGGTTGCTGGTAGTTTGAAAGGAACATGGCTACTGGCACCCTAAGAGCTGCTTCGGTCCCTTATATTCATTAGGTAACCCCCAACTTCAAAAAAGGTAGCAGGCAGGGTGTTCTTGTTTTTTTTTTCAGCCAAAATGAAACTGTCTCAGCTGAACCATCGCACCAGCCGGACAGGAAATCAGATGATCTGGTGTAAAACATGCAACGGCTTACACCAAATCTGATACAGTTTCCCAACGGACCCCGATATCAGCGGCACGTAATGTAGTCGGCAGATTGGCCGATATATGAGCGTGCGCGCCTGAGAACATGACAAATATCCAAACAAAGAAAATGAATTTGCGCATCTCCCTGCGTACTTCAAGGCCTGCAAAGACGCAACATATTTTCATCTGGTCAGAATCCTTGGTAAGGGCGCGTGAGCTATTAGAAGTCTCTTACAATATTAAGTTGGGAAATGAATGCACTAGTTAGTAGTAACACGTTAACACAGTTGCGGTCTTGGGAGATCAGATTGCTTGAAAGCTGGCTATGCTGACAGCGCTGCTTGCTCTACTGGTAATATTTCACAGGCGCATCTTGCTCTGTATGCTTGCAGTATGATTTGTTGGAATTTGTAAGCGACATGGAATGTTCTTGCGAGTGATCACGGGGTCCGTAATCCTACTAAGGACACTAAAAATTTGCATATGCCTCGAGACCAGAGCAACAAAAGTATATTAATCTGTTTGTATCTAATACGGAACTGGAAAGGAAACGTGTTTGCATTTATCAGACGACGCCTCACGGCCGTAAAAGTGTTCATTTATGTGTGTGCCGTATTTCAAACATCGAGCGAGTATCTATTGTTGGTGGTCGGCCTTCTGCCAGAGCTAGCCAGATAGCAATGTGATGATTAACTGTTCAATGACTCAAAATTCACGGGCACTGAACATGTAACTCCGCTCCAATGATTTTATTTATAGCTACGTGCAATGAATGGCTCTATAATTTTTTTTTCACACGAATCTCACAGGTGCTATTCACTGACGACCATCCTCACCTGAGAGCACAGGTAGAAGGTGGAGCAGTTGTACACGTTCGGCAGCAGGGTGGCATTGACACCCTTGTCGTCCACAAGAGGGCAGAAAACAAGTTCCTCAGCGCTGGCAATCGAAACAGCTGCCACAGCCACGACAAATGCCGTAACGACGGACATTGCCACTTTTGGGTGCATGACGGCTGTTTGCGATTCCCTGCAGGTGAATAATAGGGAAAAAAGCTTGAATGGTGTTGAAGGCACCAAACAACCTCAAAAAGTAAATTGTGCCTATGCCGAAATGTGTTTGGAAGAAATACGGCCCTATTTAAATTTTACTAATAAGATGCGAAGGAGGCAATAGAGAATTCGTGTCGAGTTTCAGAAAATACTTGTTGAAAATGAGTATTTAAGGAGGAACGGAAACAAACTCCAAGTATAAGTCCAGCTGAGAATTTCAATTAAACTTTCGGAAACATGTGTGGTGACAGTGATAGTGCAATGCTTATTTGCTTCACAAACATACAGGAATGTATATGAATTCCATTTTAAGTCTTAGAAGCGAATTAGTTTTGTTTGTAAAAACAATCAAGTTTTTGAAAGAATAATATGGTAGACATTTTTTTTTTCAGACCAATAAAGCAATGTCAGGTGATTCAGTAAGTTGGGTGCTCAGTTTATGCAACAAGATATTATTGCCTTTGCAAAATAACTTTTTGTTTTAAAGCAATGCATCAAGCCTTTGTTGATAAAATAAAAAGATTGAACAAAAGAACATCAATACGTTCATTATCACAGATTGAGCTGCACGTACGCACTTTGAATCCATGAGTTTAAGTTTTCTCATGCTCAATATTATGTCTATCTTCGACTGAGTGACAAATGACTATTTTTTATGGCTTGATGCTACCGCATAATTCCTCACTACCTATATTATGCGAGGTTTGCATTGACATCTCTGCCACCAAAGCAAAAAAAAGTGAAGCGTAATCTCTTTTGCTGGCGGTGGAAATAAGGTAAACGTCTAAATCTTTTCCTTACCTGCTGCCACCGCTCCGAGTCGCTCGGGATTGTGTCAGCTGGTGTGGATCAGTGGTCTTATATAGAGCTTCGGGTAATCATATAAAACGCAGTTTACAATACGTTGTATTTGATAAGCGTTGCGTGACGTTGTTAGTGCGCAGATGCCTAACAGCCTCAATTATGACGCGCAGACCTCCAACTCTACGTCGGTGATGCACTTGGCGCGCATAAGATAAACTGTTGGGTCGCTGTTGCAACACATCTGCTCAATTATGGAATACTGTTGCTGATAGCAGTCCTATATATGGTGGCGTTTTATATGTGCACATAGTCGGTCAATGCCACCTCAGTAGGCTTGTTCTAGCAAGAGTTACGAAAAGCCTTTGCTGGAAAGGTCAGGAAAACCAGTTCTCCTTGCCGCTTTCGGGGAATAAAGGGCTTTCTAATATCGCCATCGCAATGAACTACGCCGCGTGGTACACAACCACACGCACCCTACCAACTTGTTGTAGAGCTAACTTCACCGCCATTTCATTGCACGATGTTATAACTGATCACGGTGTTCCTAAGCAATTGATTGATATATAGAGTTTAACGTCCCAAAATAACCATATGATTATGAGAGACGCCGTAGTGGAGGGCTCTGGAAATTTTGACCATCTGGGGTTCTTTAAGGTGCATTCGAATCTGACCACACGGGCCTACAACATTTCCGCCTCCATAGGAAATGCAGATGCTGCAGCCGGGATTCGATCCCGCAACCTGCGGGTCAGCAGCCGAGTACCTTAGCCACTAGACCACCACGGCGGGGCGCTCCTAAGCAATTATTTACCTAGAGAAGCCGCAAGCTTCTATGAAAAGTGACCGCTGGAATGTTTGCATTGTGAGTGATTTGACACATATACCAAAGCGTGCCGTCCCAAGAATAACGGGTTACAGAACGCTGGAAAGGGGCGGGATGCTCACGAACGCGGTGTTTATGATAGTTCCCCTTTATTTGAGCGCAAACATATCGTTCTTCATATTGGCTTACTAATGATCAAGCCATGACATCAGTGGTTTCATTCCTTCTTTTACGCCCACCAGGGTTTCAGTTCAGGCTATTTTTGGCCAATTGGGCAACTTTTTTGATACCGTTGGCGGTGTCACGCTTACTTGGCTACGCTGTGTTTTTAGATTTTCAAACACGAAAGTGATTTATGCCGGGGTCCACTACTACGTCAATGACGTATTTCCGTCACGAAAATAACGTACAAATGCGCTCAATCAAATGACAAATAAAAATTCGAAGAAAAAGTTTCATCATTGGGATTCTAACGCACGACTTCGCGGTCAGTGACAACAGATGCCGGGCACTCTTTCTGAAGTTCAAGTTGTTCGCGACCACCACACCTTGTGTTGGCTAGCTAACTTGAAGGACCGTTGAAGTCAAGTTGCATGATGCAGCCTAAAAATTTAATAACTCGACATTACCGTCGTGTACAAGTCCCGAAGAAAACACTCCGACGCTGACTGCCTTTCTCGTGCCCTTGTCAACCCACCCCCGCAAGTTGACCTAGATGATGACTGCCTGTTGGAAACCATAAGGGCCGACGACTTCGCTGAATGACAGAGAGCCGACAGGGAACTAGTTTGTGGAAAACCTCTACGTTAAGAACTCCGTTGTTCCATAGTTATCCAAGCTAGAACCAGCATCTAATCATGTCGTGGTTTTGGGACGTATACATATCATTTCTTAGGGTATGGCGTTTTCCCAAAAGAACTTCTGGCCACTCCTAGCAAAGTACCTTTTCGTGATGCCTTCAGGACTGCGACCAGAGGTCATCTTGGCCCTACCTGACGAACTGACGGCAGGGCGCTTTCTTCTTTGACACAGGCTCTCGAGAATGGAGAAAACGTCGCAGGGCACGTCTTGAGGTGGGCGCTATTAGTGACTTCAGGTCGTCTGCTTCGGCGCTGAGGCTTTGTAATGCCGTCTATAATGATGGTATACTTCAATGCACCGAGAAGTCGAAGTACCTCGTGAAGGCAGAAGTATCAGCGTAGAAGCTGCTCGCTTGGTCCTCTTGAGGGTATCGGCATCCAGACCGACAATTGGTCATCAGGTTGGTATTCCACGTGACGTGGGCTTTGATTACAGCAATGACCATCGATCTTCTTTTGATTCCTGATACGCAGGCGGGGGAGCTGTCGAGCTTTCTCGGCGCGTCACAAATGAGCAGAACGTCGAGATTGTCTTCGACGGTGGCAACTAATAACATTGGATCGAGCGTGGTTGCCGGGCTACTTCCGCAGACCAACTTGTATGGCGCCATCTGCATGGTTTCTTATACTGCCGTGCTATTTGCGAAGGTCACTTACGGAAGGATTGCATCCCACGTCTTGAGCTCGACGTTGACGTACATGTCCTGCAAAGCAGCAATGGTCTTATTTAGACACTTGGAAAAACCATACGTCTAGGGGAGAAGGGGGGGGGGTTGGTGGTGGCTTGTGTGACTCCGTTTCAGAAAATACTCAGTTAAGTCTGCAGTAAAGGCCGTACATCTGTCGGTGATGACCTCTGCAGTGCTTTGACGAAGGATGGTGTTCTCAACAAGGGGCTTGGCCACCTCAGTGGCACAGCCTTAGGGCAGGGCTTTCGTTGAGGCGTAGCGGTTGAGGTAGTCGGTAGCTACGACGATCCATTTAGTTCCGCTAGTCGGGACCAGCTTCGTTGGATCCAACCTGATTTACTGTAACGGTCGCCGCCACGGGTTGATCAGCTGAAGGACGCTCTTATCGGTAGTGTGTTGTGTCGCTGTCAGTCTCCGCATGTCTTTATGTAGCCAGCGACGTGAAATATTATTATTATTACGTGTTTTCTTTTCTCCTAGGTGGACTACTATGGCCCCAAAACGCTGTTTTTGTGACCTCATAGTAGTTTCCGCTGCTAAAATAGTACACTGCGGTTGGCCTTGACACTCTATCACTAACTGTGAGAGCTGCTCTAAAAAAATGAGATTTAAAGTATGGGCGCTTTTGATTCACGCGCCCCGCCACGGTGGTCTAGTGGCTGCGGTACCCGGCTGTTGACCCGCACGTCACGGGTTTGAATCCCGGCTGCCGCGGCTGCGTTTTAGATGAAGGCGAAAATGCTGTAGGTCCGTGGGCTCAGATTTGTGTGCACAATAATGAACCCCAGGAGGTCAAAAATTCCGGAGCCCTTCACCACGGCGCCTCTCATAACCATATGATGGTTTTGGGACGTTGAACCCGACATAATTTGATTCACACTCTATGCAATTTTCTAAGACAGAAGCCAAAGCACGTTGTAAGAATAATATTAGAGTGAATAATCGCATATTATTCCTTTCTGAATTAGAATATCTATATCAGAGCTCTCAAAAGAGAACGCGAATAGCGATTTTGGGCAAGAAACAGTGGTTGTGGTTGCAGGCCCTCCTGAAATGTTGACCAAACACAGTAATGTCATTTTCTATATGTCGTGTCATCATCAGCAGTAGCACCATCAAAGGACTAGAGTATAAAGTTGGGAATGTTAGTCATCATCATCAGCCTGACTACGTCCACTGCAGGACAAAGGCCTCTCCCATGTTCCGCCAGTTAACCCAGTCCTGTGCTTGCTGCTGCCAATTTATACCCGCAAACTTCTTAATCTCATCGGCCCACCTAACCTTCTGTCTCCGCCTAACCCGCTTCCCTTCTCTGGGAATCAAGTCAGTTACCCTTAATGACCAGCGGTTATCCTGTCTACGCGCTACATGCCCTGCCCATGTCCATTTCTTCTTCTTGATTTCAGCTATGATATCCTTAACCCCCGTTTGTTCCCTAATCCACTCTGCTCTCTTCTTGTCTCTTAAGGTTACACCTACCATTTTTCTTTCCATTGCTCGCTGCGTCGTCCTCAATTTAAGCTGAACCCTCTTTGTAAGTCTCCAGGTTTCTGCTCCGTAGCTAAGTACCGGCAAGATACAGCTGTTATATACCTTCCTCTTGAGGGATAGTGTCAATCTACCTGTCATAATTTGAGAGTACTTGCCGAATGTGCTCCACCCCATTCTTATTCTTCTAGTTACTTCAATCTCGTGGTTCGGCTCTGCGGTTATTACCTGCCCTGAGTAGACATAGTCTTTTACAACTTCAAGTGCACTATTACCTATCTCGAAGCGCTGCTCCTTGCCGAGGTTGTTGTCCATTACTTTCGTTTTCTGCAGATTAATTTTAAGACCCACCTTTCTGCTCTCCTTGTCTAACTCCGTAATCATGAGTTGCAATTCGTCCCCCGAGTTACTCAGCAATGCAATGTCATCGGCGAAGCGCAGGTTACTAAGGTATTCTCCATTGACTCTTATCCCTAACTGTTCCCATTCTAGGCTTCTGAAAACCTCCTGTAAGCACGCGGTAAATAGCCTTGGGGATATTGTGTCCCCCTGCCTTACACCCTTCTTGATTGGTATTCTGTTGCTTTCTTTATGAAGCAATATGGTAGCAGTTGATCCCCTGTACATTTCTTCCAGAATGCTTATATATACTTCATCTACGCCCTGATTCCACAGTGTTTGCAAGACGGCTGATATTTCTACTGAATCAAACGCCTTCTCGTAATCTCGTAATGAAGGCTATGTATAGTGGTTGGTTATACTCTGAGCATTTCTCTATTACCTGATTGATAGTATGAATGTGGTCAATTGTTGAGTAGCCTGTTCTAAATCCTGCTTGTTCCTTTGGTTGATTGAATTCTAATGTTTTCTTTACTCTGTTAGCAATTACCTTTGTAAATAGCTTGTATACTACAGAGAGCAAGCTGATCGGCCTGTAATTCTTCAAGTCCTTGTCATCTCCTTTCTTATGTATTAAGATGATGTTAGCATTCTTCCAAGACTCTGGTACTCTTCCCGTCAGGAGACACCTCGTAAACAGGGTGGCTAGTTTTTCTAACACAATCTGTCCTCCATCTTTTAGCAGATCTGATGTTACCTGATCCTCACCAGCAGCTTTGCCCCTTTGCATGCTCTCCAAAGCTTTTCTGACTTCTTCTTTCATTACTGGAGGGGTGTA